CCATGCTGCAATAATTAAAACAGTTAAATGCATTTCAGCATATCTCCAAGCTTGAGTCTATAGAGAAGAGGCAGGTGTGTCCGTAACGGCGATTGACCAAAATGCTTAGTAGCTTGAAGTGAATATTACATTGGCGTGCTATTTACACTGATAATTATTCATTTCTATGCACTTTGTACACATGTTTTGCTTGCCCTGGACGCCATCCAATGAGTAGCATACATAAGCATCGTTCGATTGGGTTCAGTCGTTAGGAGCCCTTCCCCAAGCCGTCCCAATCTATATAAGCGTTGCACTTTCGTTTCGGCTGTCGAGCAGTTGAGCCTTCGTTTGCGCTGGTCGTTAGGAAGGCATCGACCGCCGCAGCAAATAGCCCCGCACCCGGACACGGCCGTGAATTTGTGAACCGGTGACAGAGTGCCGACAGGCATGGGCCGTACACTGGTGCAATTTTATGTTGCAGTTTATTGCGGAACACGATTGTGGAGCTGCGCAAAAGTAACGACCGATTTCGTGTCCGAAAAATCAATGGTTCACCATCGAGAGAAAAGTTTTGCGGTGCCGCATCCGGACAGGTAATCCCATGACAACATGAGCTACCTGTGCGAACGTTACGATTTTTCGGAGCGAGATGTCCAGAGCGGATTCATGGACCCGTTCAAACAATGTGTTTATGACGTCACGGCCTCTGCGCCGAGGAGCCATAAACCACAGAGACGTGACACGGCTCGAAATCCGGACACACCGGCCTTACGGATGGCTCCAGAGAGAGCAGCGGCCACGCCTTAACATCACAGTGTTCGACAAGGCTCAGACAATCTCCTGAGAGTTCTCCGTGAACAGCAACAGACAACGGGAAGGTCGGCTTCACAGGAATTAATTCATCACGACCAGAATATTCACCCAACGTCTCTGGCGCGCGGTCTCGCAATGAGCCCAAATACCGCAAATGAAACTCACCAGAGCTCATTCGCTTCCTTCCTCAGCCAACGGGCGTGTAATTTGCATTCAGTTTCACGTCACAGTGGGCGCCGGGCGCCGGGCGTCGGATAGGGGAGGGTGTGGGAGAGCAGGGGAAGGCGCTCCTCTCGGCCCGGCCCTCGCGCCTCGCGACAAAAACGTCGCGTCGCTGCGCGTCGGGACCGCCGCGGGCGACCGTCAGCGGTCTGAAGTGGTGATAAATGACACGCTGATGACGCCATGCAGGAGCACCGCACATTTTCCACCGGGGAAACGGGGGAGAGCTCGGTGTCGCGTCAGCTTCTGTGTGGCCCGCACTTATGGAGGGCGCCTGTTGAATATCCAAACGGGAAACACGGATCATTAATAAAATGTTATGCCGCAATGTAATGTGAGAGCAATTACGGATTATTTATTATAAAATTAGCAATGTTTTCTTTTTAAGAAAAAAAGAAAGCGTTGTACAACACAAATACCTACTCATTATGTGTTATCGGACCAAAACAGAAGCCAATATTTGTCCCACATTTAGAGTACCTCTGACCTTAATCCAATAGACGAAACTCTTCCGAATTTCGTGGCAGTCTTGGACTCGAGCAGCTTTGAGGATAAAATAAATCGTCACGAAAAGAAGGGCGGCGCAGAATCTGTCGTCCAACAAACCCGTTAATGGCCACTCCAAATCAGATTAAGTGCTCTGACGAGGCAAGAACTGAGGGCAGCCGGTGACGGTGCGAAATGGGGACAGCCCAAGTGCTGCGGGGCCGCGGTCGGCTCTTGAAAAGCACTTTTCATCAGTCTTATTCCAGCTTGACACCTTGCTCCCAGTCTCCTTACAAGGTGAGACTGCCGCTCTCACGCTGTTCAGAGGCTAAGTCCCTGGTCGTACAGTTTGTTTTGTCGCCAAATCGGTTCGCAGCAGGAGCGGATTAGTGAGCCAGCAGGCTGCATTATTCACAGCCGAGCGACATGCAATATTGGCTCGAGGATTAGGTGACCGCGCCGTCGACAGACGCCAGGCCCCGGTCACGGACCGGGTCACGACGGCGGTAGATCAAACAGCCCCGCGGTGAGCCCCTTCCCCTCAGGGACGGCCTGCTGGCCACCGCGTGACAACGGATGTCCTCGAATGGGCTACCGTTGGAGCCTCCAGCCCTGGGGACACACTGGCTCCATCGAACGACCGTAGAAACACAACAGCTTTTCCCGAGTGAGTGCATGGTTCAATACGAACAATGTCATATGAGTAACGAGTGGAGCATTTTTTTTTCAAGCAAAGCAGGGTTCAAACTAAACGAATAGATAGGCATTGGTATAGGAACGGCCCATATAGGGCTTATAGGCATATTCATAGCTCAATAATGCCGAATGCAGCACAGAAGATACAAATTTATATGTAACGATTAGTGCCTTTTTTTCTCCAATTTGTATTCCTCTTCAATAAGGACCAGGAATGAGCGGCTACCCAACCTATCACTGCCGTAATGACGTCATATATGTGCGTGGTGACGTCACGTGTACCCGCACACGGCGATCCGGAGCAGGGCGCCAATATATCGTCCCGCTGTCAGATAGTGCCAGCTCCACAAGCCGTGGACAAACACGCACGACACGGAGTATGAGCGATATTACCGGCCCAGCCGAGCCGCTCGCCGATACCTGCGAACGCTGTATACCGGTACTCACGATCAGTTGGGCAAACTAGACCTTTGGAATCAAAATATGGAGGCATCAAAAGATTGATTCCTTATGACCATATTTGGGCATAAATGCAGACTATTTCTAACTTACCAATCACATAAAAATAAGAGAGTGTTTCAAGAAGGAGCATGCCTGATCTTGAACAGAAATGCTGGAACTATCTCCTAAGCAAAATAATATTGCTCCTATCATAACAATTTGAATTCTATAGGTAGTGAAAGGCAATCAAGGAATTGATTCACTTTAAACAGATAATCATAATATTGATTCCCCATCAGCTGGCTAATCATTATTTTGATTCACAGGTAATGTTAAGAGATAGGCAACAATGACTTGCAGGAATACATCATTTATCTTGCTTCTGTTCTCATTTAGTGGTATCCTCAGCACCACAACAGATACCTATAGCATTGTTGTAGTTAGCCTTCACTACATTTGATAACAATTCACAATTTTTAAATGTCAAGAATACAAAAACTGAAGCAACAGGTAAAAACCATATAATAAATATAAAAGCACTACAACAATGATAATAAGGGGTTTGAAAATTTCATTTTGCTATTTTACACAAATACTAATTGTTTAGTATGCGATTCATGATACAAAAATAACATACAGTGTGATTTCCTCAAAACAGCTTTTACGTGATGGACAGTGGCTCTGTCTTCTTCCCATTCACAAGGCCAAAGGGACAATTTCTAAGTTTTGAGGTAACACTTTTTGGAAAGCTACCACATTTTTCTACCTTTTTAAAGAAAAATCTCACCGTCATGGGCCTTTTATCAACCGTAACGATACATTTGAAGTCAAAAGTGTACCCAAATGAATCAAAAAATTGATTCCATGCCCATATTTGGTCATAGCTCCTCCCACCAGAATCAAATTATTGATGCCTCCATATTTTGATTCCAAAAGTCTAGTTTGCCCAACTGCGATACCAGTACAACGCAGGTGGTACGCGGCGGTACCTACATGGGTACACGTGGTGTGGAACGGTATGGGGGTCAGCAGCGGACCATTGACCGGGCAGGTCAGCTCAGAGGGGGCGTTGAGAGCTCAGCAGCTAATGTCAGGAAGGCCTGCAGCTCAGGAGTTATGCTTCGCTTGATGCACATTGAAGCAGCTGACCGAGCATTGGTGAACTTTATGCGACCCCACTGACCAGGGGCGGATCCAGAAAATCTCCAAGGGAGGGGCCATTAGAAACCAGGAGGCCCCCCCCCCCATAATCCCACCTGTTGGAGGCCCCATCTTTCCACTTGTTGGCCCCCCCCCCCCCCAAAAAAAAAACTGCGTCTATTGAGCTTATCTAGCTGTTCAGGCAACATCTCAACATCTGTGCAGGCTTGGAGGCCCTCTGTGCAGGTTAGGAGGCCCTGTAAAAGTGGTCATCTCTGTGAGTATAAGAGACCTCCAAGTTATGAAAAGCTTTACCAATCTTCTAACAAAGAAGTCTTCTCAGCTAGTCTTCTAAGAAATAACTAAGTGGGTAGGTTAAAAAAAAACTCATCGGATTTCGGCCACTTTATTTTCAGGAGGCCCCCTTTTCAGCTTTTTAACTTTTTAACTTTTTATTTTATTTTTGAAAAAAAAATCGGCCAAGGGGGGGCCATGGCCCCCATGGCCCCCCCTTGTATCCGCGCCTGCCACTGACAGAGCTATAAATGAAGCGAACGGTTTAGGCTTTGAAGCATATTGGATCACCTAACCTATGCTATCGGCTCCATGTGCACATCTTTTTTATAATGGACACGAGGCTGGCAATGTAAGTAAGGTAGCTTACATTTGATACTCATGTGACACCAGTCTCATTTTCATGTCAAGACAGGTCACTGACACGTTATAAGTGAGCCTCTGAACAAAATACGCACTACGGTCATTGACGAAGGTTGGCTGTTCTGATGAGGCGATATCCACGAAGTATAAACATTAAACATAGAAAAACGGTGATTCCAAGATCCGCTTATTCGGAAAAAGTGCGTTTTAGCGATGAATTATATCAAGTCATTGTTACACTCGCCGATTTCCCTCATGTTCCCGTTCAATGATGTTTACCCACGTGAAGCACATCTTCCTCAAGGAAAAATTGTGCCCCTACAACAATAGGAATCGTAAATACGAACACGCTGACGCGCCACTTCCCTTTGCTGGTAGGTATTATAGGGAGGTCGACGGGACCAATTTAAAAGTTTCTAAGATTTTGTTTAGTAAATCCCATCCCGATAATCAATTCAACTGCAGATCATCCGCGTAACACCATGCTACTAAACAACGCCATCCTATAGAAATAACGCCAATCTGTACACGTGTATAGCCATGCACGATAATGAGTTACTTACAGTGAAGAAAGCTGTCGGAGATTCCTGAGCAGCTCCTGTCAACACTTCGCGACCACTCAAACCGCGGCTGCCCGGCAGTGTCCTGCACCAGTCACTAGCTCCCTCTCAGGAGGTCACAACGGTCACCGAGCTCGGCCCGAGGGAGGTCACTGCGATGAACCGGCACGCACGACGCGACCCCGTCCGCTGTCGCCACACACCCCCGCACTCTCGCCCCGCAACACCGACTGGCGAGCGGGGCCGCCCGCCGAGCCGCCAACGACTGCCCTGCCACCTAGCGGCGACGAGATAAAACAAACAGCAACCGAGCAGCACACAGCTTGCGAGCAGCGCAGTGAAAAATAATTCTTATAACAATAGGCGAACGTCTGTTTATATGCATTTGAAATTGATCAGGTTCTCATTTAAAACAGATATATGGAATTAAATTTTCCCAAAAGTTATTTGCCTTTCCATCAATTTTTATCCAGAGGTGAAAAAGCTACAAATTTCGATGATTCCTTAGCTTCGGGTGATTCATTTGCCAATAATCATTACTCATTAGAATTTAACACTACCTGATAACGACCTAGTGTAGGTGGAGAGACGAGGCTCTCTATATATAGCATATGCATTGAAACACGCGCTCCCGGAAAGGCTTGGAAAATCCGAGATAAAATAGTTGTGTCCCCAAATCGCGCCAGTGCAGTGCTCCGGATGAGCCAGGAGCGCGTTTTTCTCGGTACGAGTCGCGGTTCCCGGCTGATGACAGCGATTGCGGCGGCAGTTGACACAGACCGGGCCACTCCTCCCTGGAGCGTCTGGGGTGCTGGTATGCTCCCGACGTGTCTAAAAGCAGATAATTCCGTCTGAAACGGAGTGCTATGCGACTGGCAGAGATAGCGCGATGGCGGTGGTCTGCAGACGTCGCGTCGGTTGCTGGAAGATTGTCCGATGAGTTTGCCGACGCGGGAGACACAAACGACCCAGGCGACACCGCACACCGGGCAACAGGGCTCAAAGATATGGCATACCTACACAATGACATTGCGATGTAGTCTCAGAGTTGCTTATATGAGCCAAAATGTATAGGTCCTACTGGTACACATAATCTGTCCTGAAATTCCTACTTTATTTTGGTACTTTAATTCGGAACTTTAATTTGGAAAAGATTTGACATGAGCTGATGTTGTTTACCCGTGTGCGAACACAATCACTCATTTACCCTCACCTCTAAGACCTGCATTGAGCGCGTAAATAATACGGGTGGCGCATCGACGGCGTTGGCGGCGCACGATTGGATGGCGCAGCTGCGGCGCCGACGCACCGCGGCAATTAATAACGCGCCACGATGGAACCATTTGGGCGCACTGGCGCGCGGATTGAGTCGGATCAATGGATCCGCGAGACGGCACAGCGGTCACACGTGCCCGATCAGGGGCCGCCGTGGGGAAAGGATGGAAGAGGTCCTGAGATAGTGGAGAGGCCACGCCGTCGGCGCTGAGGTGTTCTGGTTTGCTGGTCTTAGTTATGAAAATAAGAAAATATCCGTCCGTGCAATGACTCCATCCAACTTAGCAATCCTTCTGAATTGCACCTAACAATAATCACCAGTTGCGGCGGAACACCCAATGGGGCATGCTGCCGACTTTTAGTCCCATTCTGTCCATGCAACGCCCATATGGCTAATGTTACAATGCCAAAATCAAAGGGAGGCGCGGTGTCCCGGTGCCCTCCCCGTTCCGCCGCCTATGATGATCTCTCGCCAGGCGTCAGCCAATCTCACATCTTGTATGACGCATTATGCAGCATAGGACAAGCATACACTTGTAATTCCAGCATAATCTCATCTTCTTCTAATCCCATTGTGTGTAAACCTTGCTAGTTTCAGCAATACAAGTACGCCAATCCCCATTTTTCTCCCTAACCTATGACCAAACTAGCCAGGAATGTGCTCAGGTTTGTTCTCTGTGTTTCTATATGAGCTAGCGCTCGTGTTATTCATTCAATGGCATTCATGTTTACCATAGTGCCGCTTTCCATGTTGAAGTCGCCTTGCTCGGCTGACATCGGAATTCACAAGCTCTGTCAGCTTCAGCCGACCGGGAAACAGAAACGGTCACATGTTGACCAAACGAAACCACTCAGGTTCACGATCAGGATCTCAACAAAACAGCTTCCCATTTTGTTAAGATTCAGGGAATGCCATGAGGCTTAGATATGTAGGTAGGTACATACGTATCCATGTATGTAGGTACATACTTACATACCTACCACTATACACTCTCTCCATTGAATCTTTGATTAGCATACGCCTGATGGCCGGATCACATCGACTCAGGCATTCGCCGTTCTCAACACTGTTTGATTGGGGACATGATGACCGGCCTAATGTCCTGATCGTGTGGGGCACTATCGGTATTTGAACGCTAATTTGTGTCGTTCGTGTAGGAAGCTAACCGATCCCAAATCCATGAAATTCAGGTGCACCAACACTTATAAGGAGAGGGAAACGACCCGCCGACCATTTATATGTAAATCCTTGTTTTGTGGACGAATTAGTCGCAGACTTCTCTATATATAGAGAAGTATGTGAATAAGTATAAAATGAAGATGCTGAGGACAGCGTTAAGAAAATGGCGCCTCATGGAGAACATTAGTGAATAAGTCATGGCTAGTGCATCCAGTGGCGCGGGAACCGGGGGGGGGGGGCTAGCGGGGGCTGAGCCCCCCCCCCCCAGCTTTTCAGCTGGGGGGCTCGTAATGTATTTGAGCCCCCCCCCCCCAGCTGGAGGAATCGAAATTGGAAATCTACCAACATAATTTCATAGATTCATACATAGGCGTGGGAACCGGGGGAGGGGGCAGTGGGGGAAGCTTGCCCCCACAACTCTGCGGCCGTGGGGGCGGTGCCCCACAACGTTTCATGAGGCCAGGAACCGTTGGGCAGCTTGTCCTCCCCAAATTAGGGGTTGTGGGTCACAAAGGAAGAAAGCATGTAAGTGAAAAATCCACCTATTTCACTGGCTCGGCAACTCATTTGGCAGATTAAAACCTTTACTCCAGGTTGCCAAAACGGTAGTTTCTTCACTCAGCTGAGACGGAATACCTCACTTTTTTGAAAAATATTTTCGTGTGTTTTTTTTTGAAAAGGCCAAGGTCTGAAAAATAAGTGGCCTAAAACCGGTGAGGAAACTAGATTTGGGGGTACCCTAGGTTGATTTCTATTATGGTTCAGCCCCCCCCCCAGTCTGGAAGAAGTTCCCGCGCCACTGATTGCATCAACAACAAGGACGAGAAGAACAGAGCCACGAAACGGTCCTGCACCTCGACTCGCATAGGTATAGTTATTTGAATCAGCAACCGATCAGGGATAACCCATGACTGAAGGAACTTGGAAGCCAGGGCCCCTTTACGACCAGACTCATACACAACGATACAGTTCACTGGAGAGCCTTCGTACCGCTTCCTTGCTGGCTTCCTGAAGAGATAAACCACTCTGCCAAAACTCACCATGTGGGCCCGGTGTGCAATACGCCGCTTCACGCCGTCGAGCAGCTCACTGCAGCTCACTGCATTCAGGCTCAGCCGGGAAGACTCAGCGGGTCTGCCGGTAAAATGACGGCATCTTGTCTTACTCACTCGTCAACTGCCCCAATAGTCATAAAGCATTCCCTGACAGACATTGGGAGCATGGGACCACCGATATCGCAGCGTTCTTTAAATATGACAGCGGATTTAGATAGGCTGACATATTTGTGGCCGTTTGAGATGGTGGTCGACTCTGCTCCGGTGGATTTAGCGGACAGACCATGTCGATGTAAAACATGTGTGTGGTTTGGCTGGCATGGCCCTTGTCACTTCTGGTTACACAGCTGAATAAACAGGAGAAGAGAGAGAGGGAGAGAGAGAGAGAGAGAGAGAGAGAGAGAGGGGGGGAAGAAAGAGGAGGATAGTCTTGGAAGTCTCATGATTTGCAACGGAAGAAAACCAGAGATGCGGGCACATTTGCCCTACGAGTCTCGTAACCCTTGATTAAAAAAAATAAAAAATAAAAAATTATAGTTTCTGATATGGTGTGTCGTGTGAGATTCGTTTGGTTTTATTTAGCGACGGATAATATTGCATTTATTCATGCTGAAATGGTGCAACACATGGCACTGGCCTCAGCTCATGTACGGCGCCGTAATAAAATTAGTCTGCGTTTTGTTCGCACTGTCCGCAGGAACTGGCCGTCGTCAATGGAGCTCTGGTACACGGTGATTTCGTGATCTCGTGTGGCGGTGACCCGCTGAAGGGACAGTTTTTGCGGGTCCACCTATCGTGCTTCAGCGGGGCTTTGTCTGGGTACCCCACCAAACGCACTAGGGGTTAATGGGCTTTGAGTGTCATGAGCAGGACTGGTTATGGGAGCCCATCCCAGCGTGGAGGTCGAGCTTCGGACAGGACGCCATATGGGCTCTGGGTAGAAATGTGTGGTTGGGGGGTGGGGTGGGGGGGGGGGGGGGGGTGGTCGAATGTTGTGCTGTTCGAGTTGTGCTTTTGTACAGCTACAGCCGATGTTCAGCCAATTGGAAGAGACATTGGACGGAGCATTGGACTGGTTTTCGACCAGGGGACGGTCACGCAGGCATCATTGGTCAGCGTTTCCATAGGTAAGTGAAATGAAAATAAGATACATTCTATAACTACCTAGGCCTACACCACACTTCGTATGCTCATTTTTGTCATATGTTTGCTGCTGTCATTTTACATACTCGTAGTTCTTAGATAACCTGGCTTATAGCTGACTTGCTGCGGCCATGACGAAACTGATCTTATTGCTGACATACCATATGTCCATATGTATGTCAGTATTTGTAGCATACTGCATAGATTACCACATAGATGTTTGGTGCGATTCCATGTAGCCAAATTCGCATGAATGATGAAGTGGATATACAGAAATTCAATTTCATTCAGCGTTTTTCGTTTTATCAATATTGGACGGATACATCGGCAAGGGTTTCGTATTCCTTGAAATATTTAACCCTATTCCTGGCGGGGGGGCCTCAGGAGCCCCCCCTGAGGTTTTTTGGTTATTTCTCCCAAACGCGTTGAGCTAGGAAGCTCAAATTTTCTGACTTTTCCTAAAAGGCTTCTACGCAACATGTCTGAAAATTTTGAGTTGATCTGACCTCAGGTCAGGTCACCAGAGGCGGTTTGGTGACCCTACCTCAGAAAAGTTTGCAATCACGCCAGAGCTAGAGTTTT